TATATTATAAAGAAGGTTGAAATAACAGAAATGTCATTCATAGCTAGCTTTTATATAGGTCTTTCTGGAACAAAAATGCATTAATTTGAGATTTTTTGCCAATGTTGGGCATTCTGTCAGGAACAATGTGCTGGTTAAAAATGTAAAAGGAGACGTAAAGCAAGTTGTAGTGAAGGAAAAGTATGCTGATAGCTATTTGTATTTATATACTAGTCAACATCTTCAAGTAATGAACTCAGTCCAAATAATACAGGATTATTTCATAATTAACCTAAGTGAGGTTGATTAACRTTATGGGAAAATCACAGAGTCAAGTAATTATTAATAATACATTATTAAAGAAAAGATCGTACTGATTAGACATTCACAGGAATATATCCTGCATCCAATTCTATTAAACAATTTTTAGAAAACCTGGATGAAGGCACAATCTTATTATTAAATGAGAAATCCTGGATGAAGCCACAGTCTTTTTATTAAATCGGCAGATCTGAATATGGATAAAACAATATGGAAGTGGGTCACTGAAGAGACTTAAATTTCGGAATGACCAGCTGGATAAACTGGAACATCAACAACAACAACAAAAATCAATAGAAATGGGCAAAACTCTATGCTTTAGAAAGAATAAACTACCTCAGAGTAAAGGATGGGAATTTGTAAATGCGGGTGAAGTGAATCAATATTTTTCTATTCTCAACTTGTGGACAATTGATAAGTGAAATATATTTCTTAACTCTTCTTCCTCTTCAAAGCATAACACACAATAGAACCTTCTTTAGAATTATAAAGAAAAAAAAACTAAATAATGCAGGAGATTTTATTCCYACTTCTGCACTAGTCTTTAATTCTCATTAGTCTTCTGTGACCTGGTTCTCTTGCTCTTTGTTTAAAAAATGTAATGAGAAATGAGCTAGTCTTTTTCATCCATAATAAAATAACTGACTTGGAAAACGTATCTGTAAAGAGCAACTTCACTTTATTGCAGGCTAAAAAAATTGAATGATCTGTTTATTACTCTGTTCTTCTCCCCAAGCCAAGCATTATTTTTTGTCACTGTCATTCTTTTGACTTTTTTAATGCAAAAAGAAAATGAGAGAATATTATGCTAAATAGATCAAAGTTCAGAGCCCTAATAAATTTAATAGGTTCCATTCTTGGAATTGTATTCTTTACTGAAATCAGAGTAACAAATCTATTTAACTCACTGGAATTGGCCTATGTGAATTAAAAGTAAATTTAGCCTTTAAGCCTTGTTTCATGAAAGAGTAATAATGAAAAATATTGGGAACAACCTACAGTGAGGCATTCATAGATTTTTTTTCTCATTTCTATTTTAACCAAATAGTCCTTTAAGAATTATAAAGTTGTCTCTGGCAATGGAAAGGCTTTGTATGACTAAAGATTTTGGATAACCAGGAAAGAAAAGCAGTGTTCACCATGCAATTCAAATAACTGAAGGAAACCTTACCTCTGTGCAATTTCATATCAGGTAAAGGAAGCATTTCAACTAAGATTATTTTTATGTTCCCACCAAAAAATCCCAGGGTTTATGCAAAAACTGATGTATTCATTTCTACTTTTATTTTCATCCCAGTTCTAATTACACCATCATTTTCTCCCTGATAAACTGGGCAGACATCTGGATTATGTTTTTCATTTTCTTAAGTCTTACTACATTTGGGAAATCTTTGTAGCAAAATCATTCTAGATTAATATTTTAGTTAATGCTACATTATTTGATTAGCATGTTTGATTTGCAGTACTAGTTTTATTTTTCTCTGTATTTCTGTATCTAGTCACAAAAGATTAAGATAGATTCCTTTGCAGAGGAAAGCATTTCTTTTTTCCTAAGTGCCTGAGCTTCCTCTGCTATTATGAGTTGCTTCTAAACAGCTGGTGTTAATGCATCTGAGTCTGTTTTGCTAGATCCTGAGGAGAGTGCAAGTTGCAAATACAGTGCCCAATGGCAACTTACAGAAAAAGGGATCCATGTGGAGAAGCTTAGATTAAATTTTGTAAGGAATACATCATGTTGAGGAGATAGGGAAAATAATTTGTAAAGATATATATAAGTTAAATTATGGAAAAAAATAAACATAGGAAATTGAAGTTATGTATATTTAGAGACTAAAATGAAAAGTTATTTATTTGCTTTTACTTAGGGAGATGCTCTCTGAGTTAGCTGATTCAGAAAAAAAAAGATTGAACATAAGTTTTTTGTTTCTTTTTGTATTTCTGGGGCAGAGAAAGAAAATAAAGGTAAGAAGAGTATCTAAGCTAAAGACTTTAGACTTATCCATCATGATCTCTTCCACTGGTGATTTTTTTTAATGTTGTTAACTAACAAGATCATTTACACTTGCAGAAAATAGATCCTGAAACAGTACATCTCTGCACATTAAGCTGCAATAAATAATAAAGCAAAAAGTTATATTCCAATGTGTTTTTAAGTGATTTTATCTATATTTATACGGCTGTTTTCTTCACACATTGACTACAAGTTTTTCTTTGAAACACCCACTGTCTGGCACATAAGCTGTTCTCTGAAAAAAATAGGTCTCTGCCAGTTTATTTTCCAGTTTGCTACAATCAAATCTGATGAAAAAAATATTTTTTTCTGAAGAGTAGTTTATAATTTGCTCTATCATTGATTATCACTTTCATTCATTTTCTACTTGCATTTGACCATTAATATGTGTTCCTTCAATATTGATTACAAAGATTAAAAGCAGAATCTTAATTATTAATCTAGAATCTAATAAGATGAACTTCATGGAGAAAAGAACTTCATGGAGGAATAAGTCTTCAATTACAATGTTTATATTTTATGATTTCAAGTTAAAAATGAATCGACAATTTTTAGAAGATTTTTAAAGTATTCTTTTTCTAAACATGATACTTTCATTAAATAAAAATTGTTTTTCCTCTCTGTGGAATCCCCAAAGAAATCTAGTTCATCTTGTCCTGTGGTGCTTAGCAAACATGAGGTGATATTTCTTGTCCAAAAGTTGATATCAGTTGTTCTCATATTAGAGAAACTACAGTACTGCAAGTGATTCCATTGTGATTCTTGTACCTCAGTACAAGTACAAAAGAATGAATTTTGAGTCTTTTAAAGCCTTTAGCTTTGAGACACTGAACCATAGCCAAAGTGGTTTTCGGTACTTAATTTGTAAGGAAATTTGTTCATTGTGTGTTCATTTGTTCATTGATTAATTTATTCAGAGTGTGTACCAATAAAGACCTTTTCTATTGCCTTTTCTATTGTCTAGAATTTAGTGTTTTTTATTTTTTTTTGTGAATAAATTACAAGGGAAACATATGTATATTAAAATTAAGTTATATTATCTGTTTTTCCTACCCTACAAAGCCATGTCGTACTAGCATATTAAAATAACTCACAGAATAATTATTCTATTTTTGCTAAATGATTCTTATTGTCTTTGTGTCTGTAAAAAAGGAGTCTTTTCCAGTTCTGTAAACTTTAAATTGTCAAGTCTCCTACAAAATATAATTCCTGTGATAAGGCTTTTGAACTTTTTTTTAATGGAGGAAATCTTTCAACTGGGCCTTTATGTCATATTGAATAGTTTCCCTTGGTGGCCTGCACCAATGAGAAATTAAATTTTGTATTTTGCAATAAATGAGCAGAAGATAGATTAACTGTAGTTTAGGAGTCATTCTGTTGATGATTCTCAAGAAGTCAGCATCTTAAGTAATTTTAATAGGTTCCTCTGAAATCAAAATTGCTACACMTCAGTGTGTCTTAATACTCAAACATGCAACCAATACTCAAAAATGAAACCAATAATCAAAAATTGACCTCCAGGGGGGTTATTATAGAATATCATCAGTCTGCAGATGTAAAAATGGCTTTTTGAATGTGATATAATGTTTCTGAAGGAGGAATCCCTTGGGGTTTTTCATTAGCCTGCAATAAATGACCCAGACCTTGGATGCCTTCTGTGCTACAGCTGGAATTGCTGAAGATGTGGGATTCAGGCACAGCACTGCAGAGAACCATTCTTACCTTCCTGGCCTTGCTCCTGAGTTTAAAGGGTTTTCCCCTCTAGACGTAGACATAGAGCCTAGTGTTGATCCTTCCAACCATCCTGTCACATGCTCCACAGTGATTTTTTAGATTCTGCAAACTACTGTTTGCATTTCATGTATTTTAAAGATGGTGAGATGCAGAAATTTTGCAGATAAATTTTGTTTTATTAAGGATGAGATAYAGATCTCTCCAATATGTGGCCTACATGCAAAATCCTCCGTCCCTCCACTTTTTCTGTCTCTGGGTTGCATCTCTAGAACATTTGGAGACAGAACTCACTTTAATAAAATCTACATTGCTACCATCAGGTTTCTGTGCCCTCGCTCCTACATACATGCACACTTATCATGCAGCTCATTGATTTGGTAGATCAAGTCTCCCTGTCTGGGGAAATTTACCCTTGAGGCTATAACCTGCTACTGATGTCGAGATGCTGGCACTTGAATGATGGCTTAGGGGATTAATGGCTTCTGGTTGCTAATTCTCTGCTAGGTGGCTCAGATGTTGTCTGAACATCTTTCTGGATAGTCACTCCAATTTGCAAATGAAATATCCAAAAAAAAAAAAAAGAAAAAAAATGTGGAGGTTCAGATTTCAGGTATATTCCAATTGGTCCCTATTGCAAAGTTTTGGAAGAAAATAACAAAATCCTGGCAGCAGCACAAGTAGCTGTAGACAAATAGGGAAATATTCATATGTGCTAATAAACCTCTGCTTATAAATCTAAATATCCAAGTGTACTCTTGCAAGGTTTTTCTGAGTGTTTACAGTGCTAATGGTTATTACACACTGTAAATGATAATATAAAAACTATGATAATTCAGTAAATTGTATTTTCGTAACAACACTGGTGCATTTCAAAGTTGAGAGATTTGTCTTATCAAGTAGAATCATGTATGATCTGTCATTTGTTTGCTTTGTTGGTTTTTTTTTTTTTTTCCAGCTCCAGACCAGTTTGTCTGAACCAATGACATTATCCAAGTCAATCTCGCTTCCTCGCAGTGCATACTGGCATCATATCACCCGGCAGAATAGTGTTGGAGAAATCTACAGCTTACAAGGCAAGTGTCTTATAAATAAATGCAATGTCCATTAGCTTCCTTCCATTTGACCAAAATTTATGCAAATTGCTTTTTATTTGCATTAGTTGTTTTCTCTCTGTTTCAGTTTATCATTTGTCAGCAACCTCAGCAGGATTCCCAAATTTACATGAAGCAGGTTTCTTTTAGTCATTTCATAAACTAGTGGTGAAAATTATTCCCCAAATCACCACRTAAAAGTGGATAGCCAATTTGGCACAATGTAGCTTCTCACTAGCTAATGAATGCTAGAGTATTTTAGTATTTTTCCTCCAATAAGACTGTGTATGTATTTCAGAAGCTAACCTCAGGGTGCCCAATTAAATCTACATAAAGTTGTTGTATGAGTTTCAGGATTAAAGCAAAATAATTCTAGGAATAAGACCTACTCTGGGTAAATTTGCTTAGAGAGCCATATATATGATCTGCTTTGTTTGGCAAACTTACATGTCTGCTATATATATGTATGTGTGTATATATATATATATATATATATATGCATGTATCATCATTTTCTCTCTCTAGTTCTCTTTGGTTGGATTCAAAGCTATTTGTTTAAGATTTTAAATGTGATAATTAACGTAACTCGATGATGATTTACTTCTCTTAAACTGAAATCGATTGATATCTTTTAGGAAATCAACTAAAGGTAACTCTATTACATTTAAATTGCAAATCTTAAGTAGTAGTATTTTTTTCATGTTAAAAAAGAACAGGCTTTTGTCAACATGCTTCCTTGTGTTACTTGACAAAGCCTAAAGCATTTCATTGCACTTCTTTCTTAATGTGCTGTTTGCATAATCAATTTACAGTTATGAAAGTTAGAGATTGCTCAAAAACAACAGTATCCAGTCCAAGAAAATGTTTTACTTACTTGCTTTCATAAAATGAGGTGAAATGCAGGAAATGCAGGAAATAGATGAAATATCTGAGATGTTTCGCGTTACAAATTATCACAGAAATTAAGATCAGTGAATTTAATGAATGTTTATTAAAAGGTACAAAAAAAAAAAAGAAAATATCTTTCAGAAGTTGTCTGTGAAAAATGTTGTACTTGTATATCACCTTAAATAATATTCCTCATATGACCAATATGTTTGTTTGAATACAGKAGAACTCAAAAGAAAAAGGTTATTTGTAGAGCTGTTACAGTTCCTCTTGTAATATTCTTGATGGGGTTTCCCTTTGGCCAAAAGATGAACAACATGCATTATAATATTTATGAAGTGAGAGAAATATTTGAAATGTTTTTCATTCCTTGCCATATCTTTTGTGTCTCATAAATGATCATTTTAATCCAGTATAATTTTAAGGAAAGTYAAACTTTGAATATGGAATAATATCTCAATAGTAGCTTTGCAGGAAGCATCATGTTGGAAGTGTGTTGTTAGAAACACAAGAATTCTACTTTGGGGAAGTATTCACATTCCCACCGAAACACAAGTTTAATAAATTCTGAACCTAAGTCAACATTTTCACTTCTCTTACATGTACTCTGATGACTGAAACTTGTGAAAGTGTGCTGTGGTAAATCTCAGGAAAGACTAGTTCAGTTTTATCAGTGAGCTAAGAAATGCAAGCAATGGACAATTTTCTGTCCCTCTAATTGCTCAAGTTTGACATGCAGAAATATTACTCTTCATAGTGAAGACCTCTTTGAACTGTCTGCAGCAATGCTTACAACCAGCTAAAGGTGAGATATTTGTGCGGAAGCCCAAAGCAGCATGAAGTATGCCGTTACCTCTAGATACCTGCTCATATTGGTAGTCTTTGTGCAGCAGACAAGGGTAGAAAATGGGTGGAGAGGGAGCAGAGTGTGAGCATCATTTCCACCCTCTCCTAGTACAGCAGCCAGCTGAGTTGGGCTGTAACCATGGGAAAGGCCACTTGCTGCTGCTCTTCTCCTGTATGCGTGAAAAGGTAAGCTAACACCTTCAGAAAGGACACATTTTCTCCAGAGAATAATCTGTCAAACTCTTTTCTGCACTTCATGTGGATTTATGACAAAGCTTTTTACATTCATGTACGTGAAAATTCCACATTTTCCTCCAAATATCTTGTCAGCTCTAAAAATGAAATTACTTGAGTGGTGCCTACCCATATCCAAATTATTGTCAGTATCAGTACAACAACATCCACACTCACTGCTAAATAGAGTAAAAAATGTTTCCATAATTGCAATTATTTCAAACTTGCAGTCTGAAGTGAGTGGCATTTAATAATAACAGCTGGTGATGTATAAAGAGAAATGAATATGTGCTCATACTACCTTAGATAAATTGGCTCTTTGGGAGTTATTTAGCAGTAGAATTTAACTTAATTAGTAGTGTKAGTTGATGTGATAATGAATATGCTGTAGAGTAAGAAGGTGGATTTAAAAATATATGTATATATATAAAAATATATATTTCAGAAGATAAAAAGCAATTCAATAAATATGTATTGCACTTACAGTTCTCGATCTGCACATGAAAACACACATAAAGAGCTGAAAAGATTTTTAAAAACTGAGTAACAGTATTAAAAGATAACACATTTCASAAAGTACCTTAAAATTAGGTTTTAAAGATGTTTTCTTCCATTTGTGTGTTCATTGCACTTGATTACTTAATTCAGTCCTTGATTACACTGCTAAGATAAAAACAGTGTTTTCCATGTCTTACTAATCTTGTCAATATGAACAGCTCAACAGTTGGCTTTTACCAAGAACAGCCCATCACCGTGGTACAAGCCTCACTGTTTTGCACAATAATAAAACAGGGGAAATTGGTGTCACACAGAAAAATAACTCCAAGTTTTGACAACCACCAGGTTGAATACTACTGAGCTTCTATAGTAGAATGAGTTCACTTAAAATACATTGCCCCCCTRGCTTTACAAATAACAATGCTTGTTTTTGAAGTTTACATATAATCCAGATTGTGCCTTTAAATCCTTGCAGACTTTTAACTTAAAATAGTTTGAGTAATGAAGAAAAAAAGAAAAATATTTTACCTTTTCTTATCATGCAGTGATCATTGTGTGTACACACSTAAGACATAAATACATTTTACATTTTTTATGAATAATAGATTATGGTATAAAAATATAGAGCCCAACAGAGATACCTCTCATTAATATATTATGTTCTCCTAAACTTACAAGAAAACAAAATTCAAAAGCCAAGARTAACTTTCTAAACTAAAATCATGGATAAGAAGCAGCAAAATATAAGCAAAACAAGCACGCATATAAGCATGAGAAAAAAGATATATCTACCTTCATAACTCATTGTTTATTACTATTGGTCTTTGGCATRTTGTTTAGCACTGTTTCACAAGGTCACAGTATTAAAAACGGAGAAACAAAATGAATGTCTTCTTAAACAACAAATCATAATGGATAACATTAATGCATACTATAATTTAAAATTTTACTTTTTGGAGTTTGAGTTTGCTTAGGATGAAAAAGAGCTGCAGAATGATTTTTCAACTAATTTTAATTTAATAGTATTTTTTGCTCTAGAGAATTTAGATACTGAAAGTTTWAAACTGTTTGGATAATTTTAAGCAAATAAGACCAAATAAAATTTTAGCCTAAAAATCCACATTAGCTTTTTATTTGCATTTATTGAAGTTCCTGAGGAAATCAGTTCAGCAAATCCAGCTAAAGTTTGCCCCTTCTCCAAGAAATTCAAAATTGGAGATCTCTCAATCACCCTGTTTGGATGATTCTGCTATGTCYTCCCTGTTTGAATTTTGCTTTTGCTATCCATACTCAGTGGTGAACACCTACTCACAGAAGTAATCCTTCTTTCCATGAGTGTGCTCACATAAAGAAGTGTGTACTTGTACAAGGATTTCACCAGTAACACCTTGCATATATTCTCCTTAAACAAAACAGTAATGCTTTTTTTTTCCCACAGAAAATTTAGAAACAGAAATTACTTCTCACATTTCATTGTAAATTAAAGACAGAGCAATTAAATAAAACTGAAGAAATGTGCCTTCTGAGAGTTAGATTGTGATGGAAGATGAAAGAATTTCAAAAAATAAAACTATAGTCCTCAGTGGGATAGAATTTAATCCAAAAGCAGCACTTGAACTTATATGTACATGCCAAAAAAAAAAAAAAAAAGACCTAAAAATAGAAGCTGGCCTCTGTGAAGTGGTAGGATTTTTGTCTTTAAGGAAATTATCTTTTGTATCTAGCACTAAAGATTCAAGAAACATAAATATGCTTTTGTTCATCAAAACAGAGGGAACCTCTGGCCTCTGTAAGGCAGTCTGCATCACTCTTTTTATTGCTGACTTATTAGGTGTAGCCTGTGTCTCTCTCTTTTTTATTTTTCCTCTATTATTTTGRAATAGATTTAAACCAGATTATTATTTTGTGTTGACCCATAGAGATTAAAGGTATATGCAAATGTTTTCTTCCAGCTACATAAATTTGCAGTCTTTACAAAGTAGCAAGGCTGATAGGTCATTATAAATAATCAGAGAATATCCAAGATGCTAAATATTTGGAAAGGTTTGCATCATTCTCTTCAAACCTCCTTAAGCTAATCCTTCAGGAATTTCCAATGCGTTCCTGCAGTTTTCTGCAAATTAAACTGTGTAAAATGAATTAGAGAGCATTCATCATTTTGGCATTTCCATTGTTTGTTCATATGTTCAGCCACAGAGCACAGAAGTCATTTCCACACGTAATCTTGATGCCAGAATGGTAAAAAAATGCTATAAAATTTTAGAATGTGTCTGTTAAATCTGATCATTCAGCTATATTTCAGCAAGTATCTACCAGCTGCTAAAGAAGAAATGCTTCATAGCCTGTCACCTTGCCATTTCCTTTGCTGAATCTTTCATCAGGACTTTCACATTAGGAAAATGAAGCCTGTGAAATTTGATGTATGAATAAAGTACATTTAAAATTCGATACTTTCTGAGTACAGACTATATAAGATCTACATTATTTAAAATTACTATATTAGGTAGCTTCTTCAG